AGCAACGTCTGAGACAACTACAACAACGTCTGAGACAACTACAACAACATCAGATACCACTACAATAACGTCTGACACAACAACTCGAACGACAACCATTACTGTCACCACAAGCATTTTGACAGTTACTACCACTAGTAACACTACAAGTGTTATGACATCAACAAGTATAGTATTGTCCAACACTACAGGTAGAATTGAAAAAGAGCATCTGCAAAGACAGAACTACCGAAAAAAGTGATATTATTTTGTTGAAAGACTGAAGACAATGATGATAGAAACATCATCATACTATGGTTGGAGTATGGACGCTTCATGAGGCACAGTCTGAAATTAATTGCATATGCATTTATATTAGCATACTGAGCAGAAAAGTAGCATTGGTAAAACGAACATAAAATCGCTTCCGATGCAGAGAGAAATTTCTGTGTGTTGTTGAAGAGGAAATATAAGTGACATAGTAAACATGGAAATTTAAGATAACGTTAAAAGATAATTCCAAAAGCAATCAAACATTCTCTTAATCACATAACCTAGTCGAATTTAAAATTCTATATCCACCGTGTTTATTCGACGGACCTCTCCGACAGACCCCAGTGACCAAAGCTTTACACAACACCCATGTTATCTTGCTAAAATAGAAGATAATCAGCAAAGCGTTGTGTTTTATTTGCAGCATAAAATAGGCATGTCATATTTTGTTTCGTGCTCGGCCAGTTTTCGATTGAAGTTTTTGCTCTGAGTTCTTATTCATAGAATAGAAGTAATCTCAACAAGATAGTGCACTAGCCAAGGAAGAACAGTGTTATTGTGGAGTTTAAAAACTTTAAATAACCTCTATGAAAAAGTCGAGTTCGAAAGTTTTTTTTTACGTACAACAAACGCTATCTTAGACTTTCTGTGTCATAAATGTTATTAGACAATATTGTGCAGAAGTTTTCTTCAATGATAAATGCACTTATTATGCATTATGTTTTGAAAATGCATCAAGATTGCTTATTCTTTTTGTTCGGCCATAAATCCACACTCACAACTTAAGTTGAGACCTTTTTCTATATTAATAATGAAGTCATATAAGACTGTAATAAAACTTAATATTTACTGATTAATTAATAATTCCTAATTAAGTGACTATAGCCACTTCCAACAACAAAACATGTCTCACAATTCTTACGTTTGAATTTTTCAATTCTAGAATTTTCTCATTAGGTAAGTGATTGTATATCGAGGACTGGGAGGGTCGCTTGAGTGAACGAAGACATCTAAAATAGTTCAAACATAGATATAGTCTGACATCAATCGGGTTTCACAATATAAATTCAGAAATCAGAAAAACGGATGACTATGTTTCTTAACAGGCCTCGAAACGGACCACCCGGCCCAAGTAAGATTTTATGTCGGGCCGGGCGAGCCGGTTTGAAAACTTTACCTGGCCGCCCAGCTCGACGTTTTTGTTTTTTTTTCTTTTTTCTGAATTTTATATCTATTTTAGGAAGTATAAATGGTTCAAAGTTTTTTCAATAGGAAAACCATGTAGATTTCAATTAAGATTAATATAATTAGTCACAGTAATTGCTTAAACTAATCATATACCTCGTTCCTAGGCAATGTTCTGTAGTGTATAAATCAAGGGAGAAAAACCGAGACTCCATAAGTTGGAGTACAGCTGAAGTACAGTGGAGTCTAACTGAAGTACAGGTGAACTACAGTGAAGTCTAGATGAAGTACGAGGGTACGGACTCACTGGACTCCACTGTACTTCGGCTGTACTTCGCTATACTCCGGCTGTACTTCAGCTAGACTCCAGCTGCACTCCATTGTACTTCAACTGTACTCCAACTTATGGAGTCTCGCTTTTCCCCCCTTGGTATAAACCACGTTAGTTAACGTTAGAATATGATTTGAAAAACGATTGTGTCTGAATTAAACTATTACCAACAGTAGAAGTCATGCATAACACGAGATTTAACGCTTCAACTTTGAATAATGACTGAATCCATGGAAATCATAACATTTTCTGGAAAAAAGATAATATTATTGATTTCGCACCATTTTTTTGAACGAGCACTGCTTTCGGTTTTGGCATTCCTGTAAAGTAACACGTAGTAGAAAATAGTTTGTGAACAGGAAAAAATCGAACGCCTAAAGCGTGAAGACGAACCTTCAAGTTTTAGTGATCCAAATATTTTTTCTATTTACGAACTGTTTTCGCTTGTGTTACCTCGCTGAAATGTCAAAATCGAAAAAGCAAGTTTTCATTGATAAATAGGGCGTGTTTGTCACAGGTTTATATCAATAAATGATTATGTATCCTAGAATATAGAATTATTGATGATAATCAGTATTTGATTAAAGCACATTACCGCATACTCTGTTTGTTCGTTTGAGTCAACAAGTACTTAAACTCATCTCGCATTTGTTTTATTTCAATTGCGACGATCTGACATAATCAAGTCCGTTATGACGTGAGTTATTGGTTTCCGACTACATTGATAATTACCTAAGTAATCTTCAAATATCATTGAAAAAAAATATTGAAACAGAATTTCCTTTGGGCCTGGGCCAGACCGAGCGGGCTTAAAGTATCCTCGGGCTGCTTTGGGCCCAGCCGGGTCATGAACAAGTGGCCCATTTTTAGGCCTGTCTTTTAGTAAACTATTTTTTAACTCTTAGACACATCGTTATGTATTTAGAAGAGTTTCATTTAATACTCTCTCTGAAAAGCGAGACACCAAACACACGAATGTATTTTCATTATCAAACACTATGAGAAGGATCTTTGAGACTGCTCTCAAGACTGACAATAAGAGATAATAAATACTTCGAGTATTTCATCGAAATATATTTCCTCTAGCACTTTTCAAATGATTATAGGGCCGACTATTGTAAATTCAACAGTTTCAAGTGCATTGACTAATTATAGCGATCAATATTTTCGAACTGGAAATACCAACTTATACTATTATCAAGCAATTAATCTCATTGTGAATACGACAGGCAATTACACTATTACAAGCAACAGCACTGTTGATACATATGGCTGCTTATACAAAAATAGTTTTAATAAAACAAGATTGGCACTTAATCGAGTCGCACAAGATGATGATAGCGGCGGTAATCTACAGTTCAAACTGTCATATGTTCTTCAGGCTGGAACAAAGTACATTCTTATAGTAACAACGTATAGTCCGCTAATCTATGGACCATTCTCAATAACTGTGAGTGGTCCAGCTACTGTAGGCTTTCATATAAACACTATTGGGACACAACCTTCTTCGTTGGCAACAAGCATAAAAACCAGCCAAACAACTACAACAGCTAACAGAACAATGACAGCCACCAGCATGACAACTACAACCAACAGCAAAACAACGACAACCACCAGCAAAACAACGACAACCACCAGCATGACAACGACAACTACCAGCATGACAACTACAACCACTAGCATGACAACCACAACCACCAGCAAAACAACGACAACCACCAGCATGACAACGACAACTACCAGCATGACAACTACAACCACCAGCAAAACAACGACAACTACCAGCATGACAACTACAACCACCAGCAAAACAACGACAACTACCAGCAAAACAACCACAACCACCAGCATGACAACTACAACCACTAGCATGACAACTACAACCACCAGCAAAACAACGACAACCACCAGCAAAACAGCCACAACCACTTTCAGAATAACGACAGCTGGTTCAACTAGTAAGCAAACTAAATAGTTCTTCGACATGTATTCTTGACAAGCTGAAAATAGGGTGTACAAGCGATGTTTTCGTTGTAAAGCGATGTCGTGATATGGTCTAAATCTTTTAGATATAAAGGCTCTAAGAAATGTTTCCTAGAACAACTATGGAGTTGTTCGTAGTCATCGACTACTCTGTTACTTATAATGAAGACTGTAATTTCTGTAAAATTTATCGATTCGAAGTCGTAATAGGATGATAGTTGATTATGAATATGGTGAGTTCTCAAAAGCGAGACTATTATTCATTTCAAAGTACAAAAGGCGGTCATTATAAGTGGCATAACTGAGAAGTGGGTGTGTCCAAATATTTGTGACTACTTTTACACTCAAGTGACATTGAAGGACAAATTAGTTTGTGAAAGTAGATAGATTATGATGTATTATATTTAGAGGATTTTAGGAGCTTTTCAAAACCATTGAGTTTTGAGCCTGCTAGAGATCATCTAAGCTATTTCTGGACAATTTTCTTTAGATAGATCTGAGAACTTCCTACACACCTATTGATTCAAAACAATTTAACAACCTAATTTAGGGTCACGCGCATCTGAAAATCTGAAACTCGAAATGCACATAGATGTTCCGCAAGGATCCATCTTGAAAATGTCTATTTTGGTTTTTCATGAAATCCCAGATTGTAAAAAATGAGAAACTAAGCATATCTATCTATTCTAAGGATCATGCGATTTCAATAGCGGAAGTTGCAAATGTCACGCCTTATAATAGTTCATCTGAAAATAGTCATTGGAGCAATATTCTAAAAGTTTCAACGAGTGTTGTTGAAGCTGCATGATGCAAAGAATAGATACGTATATGTAATACCTTATGTTTTATGGTCTCGTATGCATTGGAAGCTAACAACGAATATTTTCAAAGTAAATCTTTTCCACAAAACGTGGATTTTTCGAGATCTAGTTTTTCGAACAACTCTTGTTCAAATTGACTTGCTGAATTGTTTTGAAACAATAGGTTTCTAGAGAATTCTCACTTCTATTATATAGAAATTGCCCACGATCAGCGTAGGAATCATATAACAGCCTCAGAATCCAACACTTTCCAAAAAACTCCTGAAACACCTACGAATGTCAAACATCATAACTTGTTTTCTTCCAACAATTGGCTCACCTGTATGTCTCACTTGAATAAAGCATATGCATATGTCTAGATGCATCCGTTGATGAGTTATGTCACTTTCGCTAACCGCCTCTTTTATGTTGAAATATATATTACTTACTTAGCTATATTTACTAGCAAAAACTTTCTTAAATGATGGAAAACTTTTTCTAAGACTTTTGACACGTGATACAGTGAGATCAGAAAGGCCTACAAAATGAGTTTTTTAAACGTGTGTTTTACTTTCCATTTCCACAGAGTTCATAATCAAATTTATAGGATATACTGACGATAATAAAATAGGGTGACGAAAGATGACTAATGCAGAATGAGATATTAACCATACATTATATATGAAGCGCTCTGATCAGCGAATATATTCTGTTTTTTGAACATTTAAGTGAGTTTTACTTGCTGTCAAATATAGAGATTTCCTTCTTCTCTTACTAAAATATATTAGATTTGTAGGTCATGCAGGATATTCATTTTCTACGCATATCTCCGTAGCTTATTTAGTCTTGTGATTGATGTTTTCAACGTGGTGAGTATTGAAGTGGAATCACAATGGGAAGCTGCTGTTAGCTACGATACAGTATATTCTTTTAGATGTTTTCATTCAATTTATTGTTCACTGTGGAAGCTCTGTTTTAATTGTTGCAGGAACGACTTCGAACGATACCATAAAGAAATTCTTTCAGATGAACTTCACGAACCTGTCCTCTTGAGATATAGAGGTTTTTAAAGAGAAAAATTTTCTCTCGTCAAGATCGTCTGTTTAGAGTTCAATTTTGATCAAAATTATTTATTATTCATTATGTGTTTTCTATAATAAGCATTTGGATTCAGGCTGAAAACTTGTTGGCTTACCGATTTGGAAGAAAAGGTTCTTCTTCGAGAAGTTTCTCACTTCGATCCAAAATAACAATTGAGCAGTGTCGTAAACTAGCTCGTGATAGTCAGATGATAAATAAAAGAGCTTTATTTTTTATTGAATTCAGATAGAAAGGGTTTATGTTTGTGTGATACAGATCACATCGAGGATAATAGTGTAAAAGAAGAAGAGGAAAAAACATGTATTTCTTCGTTCAAAAATGGCAGCAAGGCTTAGTAGTGCAAAGATCCAACGGAGCAACGGCATATTATTAGTATTAGATTTTAAAGCACTTTATATAACAAATTTATGTGACATAGTCCAGAAAATACGGTGCTATGACAAAAATCTTTACGTTAATTGAATTTGATGACATACGAATCTCGCCGAGGCGATAAGAGACAATGTACATTTTCATCAGTAGTACACGACATACGAATCTGAAAAAAAGCTAATTTATGATTCTTCACTGCTTCTAGGATCGAAATGAGAAACCTATTAAAGAACTGTTTTTCTTGCAAGTCGATAAACTAAAGCCTTTCAGCTTGATTCAGAATGTTTTTTATAATGAGGGTGTAACGAATAAGGAATAATTTTATCAATAATCGAACTTTTAACAGACGACTTTGAAGAGAAAATTTCTCTTTGAAAATCTCTATACCTCAAGAAGGCGGGATCGTGAATCTCATGTGAGCAAATATCATTCTGGTATCGTTTGAAGACACTCCCGCAACAACCAAACTGAGCTTCAAATGTGAACAAAAAATTGAATGAAAACATCTAAATGAATATACTGTATCTTAGCAAGCAATGGCTTGTCATTGTAATTCACTTCAAAGTTCACCATCTTGAAAATATCAGTTACAAAACTAAATAAGCTACGGAGATATGCGTCGAACTTGAGCATCCAGTCGAACCTGTAAAACTACCCTATATTATTAAGAGAAGAAGAAAATTCTTATATTTGACGGCAAATAAAAGTCAGTTATTTGTACAAAAACAAGGTATATATTTGCTGATCACAGCATTTGATATGTATTCAGTGGTTGGAGCCCGTACAAAACATAACGGACAGGATTATTTTGAATCCACTATTAGCAAAAATTTATGGTACTCCCTCCATCAGAATATTAAACTGGTTAGATTTAGCTTTAACCCAGATTATCGCTAGTTTCAATCCTGTTTAGTCCTTGTTCAGTCCTTGAAGGATTTGTCAGGATCCTACATATCAAGGATCTTATACAGTTTTTTTTTTCAGGACTCTATCTCGAGTTCTAGTACTTCTTGTATACAGCATATCTCAAAGTTAAAGAGGATCCTTTCAAGGATTTGTTAAAGATCTTGTCCAGTTTTTTTCTAAAGTAGGAATATATGATTTTACAGGAATTCAGAGTCAATCATACCTAGAATACAAACAGGAATAGCAGACAGGATTCCGCCATGATTTTATCAAGTTCTAGTCAGGATCCATTCTGGATCATAAAGCTAAGATCCGTTCAAGAATTGTAGCTGAATTATAGGAGAATCTTAACGAGAATATAATGCAAAGGTGTGAGTTTTCATTTGAAATAAGATACGATGAACGAACACCTATATCCACATTCAACTAGTCAAAATCTTTAAAATTTTCTGGCCACACGTTGCTTCCAGGACTTGTGGTTTCCTAAAAAGGTTCCTGCTTTTAAACCAATGGAGAAATTTGTTAAGATCCTGATGAAATTCTGTTTCGAATTCTATCAGGATCTTGGAATTGAGCAGCGACACGTGTTCTTTAGAATTTTGTCATTTCGTCAGAAAGGAAGAGCAAGTGATCGAAGGATCTTGATTGAATCGATTGGGAACCTAGAATGGAAATATCAAAGATTTGCCCTCGGGTATGGTTTCAGAGACAAAGTTGCTAAAACTATTTTGCTAGAGAACTTTCATAGGAATGACACTTTTAGTCTAAAAAATTCTCTGCATTACGACTCATTCGCATTAAAAGAAAAATACAATATTGCAGATGACTCAAAAACTCAGTCATTCCTTCGATTCTTTAACTACACAATAAGAAATTAAGCGTGGTAATGCATTTTCATAACTGACCACTATGAGGAGACTCTTGGAGATTAGGAATAACAAATATTTCGAATATCCTATCGAAATAGATTTCTTCTAACGCTTTTCATATCATAATAGGGTCCAATATTGTAAAGTCAACTTACTCAAGTGCATTGACCGATGATAGTAGTCGATTTTTTCGAACTGGAAATAACAACTTATACTACTATCAAGCAATTAATATCGTTGTTTATACGACAGGCAATTACACTTTTACAAGCAACAGCACTGTTAATACGTACGGCTACTTATACATTAATAGTTTTGATAAAACAAAAGTGTCTCTCAATCAAGTCGCACATGATGACGATAGTGGCGGCAGTCTGCAGTTCAAACTGACATATGTTCTTCGGTCTGAAGTGAAATATATTCTTATAGTAACTACTTTCTCGCCTGCTACTAGAGGACGGTTCTACGTCATTGCCACCGGACCTGCACGTGTTTTTGGTGAATCTGATTAAAGATGGCAAAACATCATTGGACAGTTGGCATTTTGACAATTTGAACTTGTGAAATTAAACTAAAAAACAGATTTGCTTTTTTTTGACTAGAATAAAATATCACATAAAAGATAAAGATGCTTTGAGGGCAGCCTCTACGAACGAAGTCTGGAAATTGGGCCACTTTTTGATGACCTGGTCCAGCTCATACTGGGCCAGGAATCCCTCATGCTCGCTCGGCTCGACCTGACTCAGAGTAACACTATTATAATTATATTTCTTTTACAAAAATAAGATTTTCACATGATGGAACTCAGCTATCAATGGAGTAATTTATCCAGTCATTGTAAAAAAGCTGATTAACGATCATAGTGATCACGAGCTGAATAAGGTTAGACAATTTTAAATCTAGTGAAAAACCTGGAAGAGAAGTCAAATTATTTATTGAATCGAAGGAGTAACATGTGTTTGTTGATACTTCAACTACTGAAATACTATCATTTATTAGTAAGAACCTTGCATAAGTAAAATGCCTGCCGATCAATTTCAAAGAGTCAGATTGATTACTATTTCTAATTACACTGTTAATTTTAGTATACATTTAACACTGCTCCCCTTCAGTAATATTCACGTCACTTAATGCAGTTGATAGTTCTTTCTGTTTTGTGTCCGGATCAAAAGTATCACTGAACTGGATAAATGCTTTGCTTTCATTTATTTTCTAGATGAACTTCCCAAAGTGTTTGCATAATAAAGATTCTTGAATGTTAGCAGTTATGAGATGTACAACCGATGTAGAAAATTTTGATGAAAAATCAGAATGAAATCGATTATTTTTTTTATTAAAAATCGATTAAAATGGTACTATTTAAATCTCACTGAAATTTGATTTCTCAACTTTAAAAATAGATTTCAATTGATTTTAGTCTTTTTAATCGATTAATAAAGTCTTAACCATTTTTATTCATATTTCTTCATAAAATAATCGATTCTAATCTAATTTATCGAAATTTTTTCTTACATGAGTCAGTATTAATTGATATCCTATCTCAACGCCTGGTATCTGTATCAAAGTCTAATCTAGTGTAATACTTACGATCTGCTAAGCTGAAGAGTCCGAAAAAGAGAGCAGAAGTTTGATTTGTTAAGTTTAAATTCGACAAAAAATCCGTTTTATGACCATCACCATGTAAATCAATTAAAAGTCAAATAATCTAATTTTGATCAAATGATAATAGTCCCATTTTAATCGACTTTTAGCTAGAAAAGAAGTCGATTAGAATCAATTTTTTCTGTTTTGGTACGTGGAAAATCTTCCTTGTAAAAAAGAAATAAAGCTCCGGCCATCGGCCCCGCAGGTACATTTCGAGGTCTGCTACGAGCTAATATGAGAAGCTGATGTAGCCGTTAAATACCAAAAATAGAGAATCTGTCCATAGGCGGACGTGGATTTGCGTGCTATTGTGGGTGTGAGTTAGACTGAAAAAGAAGACGTACTCGAACCTACTTACGCTCAGATCCACACCTGCCACTAGTCACTATTTATAATATTAAATCAGGTCCAAGTTGTTTTTCGGTCCTAGTCTAATTCTCTTCTCTTTTTTTGCTCTAACATGTATCTGTTTGATTACATAGTTGATGAATTCTTTTGTAACCAATGAATATTCCAAAAGTTGAAAGTCACTCTTTCATGTTGATAAAAAGAAATATCTCGTCTTAGCGGGATACACTTTGAATGATTGATGTAGAATCATCGAACAAATTGATTCACGAGAATACCTCACGAATATTTTTAATCTTCTGATTGAGGTCATATTTTGCTAATAACTAGGGCTAATAGCGTAGATAAAATCCTCAAAAAGAATTCATCCTATTAAATTTTTTGGCTGGAGCTATGCTCATTTTACGGAATTCTGAGTGTCTTGCAAGATGTTGCGAGAAAAATCAAACCAATGAATTTCAATCTGGGATTTTAATCAAACATCGATCTTATGGCTCTTATAATGTCGTCACAACTTTCAGCTAAAATGAATGGTTTCTTCCGAAGACGTACAATGTTTAAAAACAAATCGGATTTTTTCGAATTTCTTCTTCAAGAAAAACCCTTATCCTCAAGCGTGTTTTCTCAGTAGTAAACTATCTATTGACGCTGAAACTTCCAAGATATTATAGAAGCCATAAGATTTATATTTGATCGAAATTTCAGATGGAAACTCGTTGATTTGGTTTTTTTCATGATATCCTACAAAATGTTTGAAATTCAGTAAATAACCATCAATTTAGCAAAGACTTAATGGGAGAAATCATTGTAGAGTTTTTGTCTATAGTTTAAGCCATAATTATGAATAAAATATAAGCTCAAACAGAATATATCAGGTGTTCAGGTTCCTTCGTTAGAGTTTGCAAATAGAGACAATATATTGAGTTTTTAATGAAGTAAAAGTAAGTTGAAGTTGAATTACAAGCCTTTTCGAGTATTAGAATATTTCTGTGAAACTTTCCGATTTTGCCTTGAAACACTGCTTGGAAATACTGATGGTTGTTCTATAATGAATTTAGAATACATAGAGAAATTACTTCAGTCACATTTGAGGACTTTGAGCTTCATCTGTGTGCCATATAGTAGTATAGCGTTTGACAGAAGATAAGGAAAACATGAGAATTATCTGAGATTTTCAAGTTCTTTTAATTTACCTTCAACAATGACATCAATGTGGCATTGACATGCATCGATATAAAGATGATGCTTCGGTGTCTAACGATGAGCTTGTTGAGATTTATTGAGTACTGCTGAATCAGATCTTTTGATAGTCGAATATGAAAAAGTTGCAATAAGTTGGACAGAGTGATGTGAAAGTGATGTAGAAACTGTCTTTGAAACATCATTGTGAGAA